ATGATCTCCTCCAATGCCCTCATTTTAGGATTTTCCTGTTTCTGCACCAGATTCCATACAAACACACACATATATATAAAATTTTCTTTACTGTTTCAACCTGAATCCTTAAGTATCTTCATGTCTTTCTCTACTTAGTGAACTCAAAATCAAAAGATGCCATAAGCAGTTCCAGCAAAAGGAATCATGTGCAAGAGAAGTACAGAGTCAACACCTCTGAATTAATATTTAACTGGAAGAAATAACAACAGTTAAAATAGCTAATGGCTGTGTTGTTTAACTGTTGTTGGGTTTCAAATGCTCATGGTGACACATCAGGAAGGCAGTGTTTCCACCTCTGCTGAGCTGCACTGGCTCCAGCTTCACCCACATTGCTCTGTCGTGGCCTGGCAGCCTGTCTGGCCCTGTCTGTCTGTCACCCTGCCATCCCAGCCTGCCTGCCACATCCCCAAAGCCCACTCAGGTGAGCTGCGCCCCAGGCTCACTACTGACAATTACAGGCTTTATCCTCAGACATCCCTCACTTTCTCAGACTCTTGTATCAGTCTGTCACAATTTACTTTGTTCCCAGTCTTTCTCATCATCACATGTTTTGCTGTTTCTTGTTCAGCCTTCTTTACCCCAACAATTTCCATACAGAGCAAAGCCCATCTTTATTCTCTCAAGTGTCTGTCCCAACACACACTGCAGTCCTTGGCACTAGCGACTAATCAGATCCTCCTCTTACACCCTCAGAAGGTCCTTCAGAGCAGCAGTGCCTGATAAGATCAAATCTGATCAGAAAATGGATTGTTTGGAGACTTCATCTCCTCCCCAGTTCCTAGGTCAGCCCTCCTCTCCAAGGCTGAGTCCATTCTGCACGTTTCCAACCCATCATGCTATCTCTCTGCTTTATCTTACAATCATTTTCTCTTACCCTTCCTAGACACATGTAAACTTCTCCTTTTATTGTATATGCCACGCCAATGTCATGATGTGATCACATCACTCATTTACCAGCAAACCACAAAGGCTTATTTGTTTTGGCATTTCTCTTTTAGTAAATCTCCAGGTGCTTAATGATTTTTGCTTTCATCAGAGCATTCATGCAGAACTGTTCCATGGTTATTCTCTTCAGTTTCTCTATAGCATACCCTGGTCATTTTTTGTCTGAAATACAGAAAGGAATCACTTTGTACGGAGGGAATCTTTTATATCACACAACACCCTTTGTCTAATCCTTAGCTTTAGTTTCTTGGAACTCATTTTTCCTCAGGTAATTTGGCTGCTGCTGTCAGCTCCTGACTGAACAAGTAACTTTACAGAAAAGGAATTGCATTTTATACATTCTAGCTATATATTTTATGAAATGAAGAAGTAAGCCCAGCACACAGCTTTCTAGCTTTCCTAAATTCCTTCATTTACTAATGAACATGCTTGTAATGAGGGCCTTCAGCATAATGCATCGAAGGGAAAAGTATAATACGGCAACACAACAAACTTCCAAGTCACGTGGCAGAGGTCAGAAGCAAGGGAAAATGAGTATTATATGTTGTCTGCTTTATCCTGTGACAAGGGAAGTGTCTCTTTTGTAATTGCTTTTTATCAACAAAAACAAACGCAAGACTTTTTGGAAGCTTTGCTAGAAAGGTTCTGCCTACCCATATTAGTGAAAAAAGGAAGGAGGAAGAAGGCAGAGTAAAAGATCCTTAATTAATACTGAAACATAGAGTAAAATGTTCTTCATCTTTAATGATCACGTTACAGTAACAGCTGTGTGTTTCAGTTCTGCACGAACTCAGTCAAGGGTTCTTATCTGGCACAGTTTGGCTTATGAAGAAAGACTGAGTTAAGAGGAAATACAAGTAGAAAGCTGTAACTGAATGTAACTAATAAGCAAAGGAACTTGGAAATGCCCCAGGTGGAGGAGTAAGCACAGCATTTTAATGCTAACATATAAATATTCTGAATGGACTACAGTCTACAGAGGAAATGTTTGGGTTTTTTTTTTACATGGAATGTGTATTTACAATGCTAGGGAGAAACAGATAAATGAAAAATACACCACCTCAAGTAATATCCTATAGGAATTTTGAAATGTGGTGTATGCAATAGTAACCCAGCAAAGTAGTTCGTCCATACCACGTATTCCAAAACAGGAATTTCATCTCTAGTAAGAGACAGATCTCTAAAAGATAATCACAATCAGACCACAGGATAACAGGGTACAGAAATAAGTGTTCAGGCAGCACCACTACACAGCTGCCTTTTATGCAAAGGGTGTGACTTATCACCAACAATAGGGAACAACCCCAAATGGAAAAAAAAATACCAGCCAACACACAACCTCACAATTCTCCATGCTGAGAGATGTGGGCTGCAGCACATAGGGAGAATTTGCTTGGTTCCATAGCTGCACTACAGCAAGAGAACATTATTCTGCCTATTGTATCAAATCAGAAGACAGTCATTATTCCATGTATAGCTGGAACCTGACCTTTGGATGGATTTTTATTGAATAAGTGTAGAGTAGACTCAGCCAAACTGAATTTCTGAGTAGTACAATAAACTTCTCATAAAACAGAATGGCTTTCTTGGTCAAAGGAATTTACGCCAGGATTTTTCTGAGAAAACACTGCAGCAGCAATCTTCCATCCTTCTAGAAACAGTTCGTTCTGTGAGAATATCCTTTACTCAAACTAGATGTGAGAATGTGTAATGCTTTGCCCTTGGATTTTAGGTTAACTGATTATTCTTTCTTACCAGTACTTTAACAAAACAAAAAAACTGCTCTACCAAAAGAAAAAGAATGGTATGTGGCCATGGCAATGTCACTGATGTCACTCATTCTGATAGAACTACTTGAATTTCTTAAGATATATTCCATTAAACAAGTAAACTTCTCAGCATTGACTCCATTATAAAGTCACCAATAAAGTTTACATGAGGATTAGCTCACATCACACTCTGAACATACTATTCACCAATATTCCTTCTGCAGAACTGCTCCCACCAGAAATGACAGTGAATTTGTAAAGGATATATGCAGGATTAATGTGATATAAAAGCATTATCAATAGGCAAAGACTCAAACAAGCACGGCCTAAAATGAAAGAAGTCTGATATCTAAATCACTAACGAGCCTCACACAGTGTTCTATGGAGCTAGAAGTTTTACAACCTGCAGGTCATGAAACTTTCTCAAAATGTTACCTGCATCTTGACTGGCTATCTCATCACCTACCTTAAAGGATCTCCACGTTTTCCTCCACTTTCTGCCCTCCTAAATTGCTTTCACAAGTCATAGGTGCTAGAGATACTTACAAAGGGAACAAGATGTGAATATTCAGTGCTACTGTGACCACACTAAAGATCAACATTTTCACTTGCTCTCTGACTCTAACTGCGCTGCTGCAGGGAAGTGCTGGAGCACACCAATTTCAGTCTTCCTGCAGACACTGCTCTCCATGTGACTTCAGCACAGGGCCACAAAGCTGATCTGATTTCTGCTAGCATTGTTAATGTTGCCAAATAACATTTTACAATTCTCTAAACCCAACTCTAATTTGGGAGCAAGCCTGAAACCAGTCTCTTCTCTGCCTATTATAAAGAACTGTTCCAGTCACTCCTGCAAAATTGCTTGCCCGTATCAGAATTGAAAACAAGACTAAACTCTGACTTTTCTTAGCACACTAAACAAAATTCATATTTCTAGGATATTTTTAAGCTAACTGCCATAGATAGAAAATCAAGTATTACACGTGTGTTTTATATGCAACAATGTAAGAGGACACCAGCACAACAAATATGTTCTGAATTTTGTCAGGAGGCAGTAAATAGGCATTCAGAACAGCTTGTGTATGGGTTTGTACTTCCTGTAAATGTTTTAAGGGCTCTACATATATGCTCAACAACGGTAATTTTAAGATGTTTATTTTCTGCATTCACTGTGCTAATATTTTATACCTCAATAGGAAATAATCAAGCATAATAAGCCACCTCTAATTGTTATCCTGAGATAATAACCCTAACAATGTTGAGGAGAAAAATAATAAAAGCAACTGATAAAGTCAGAGGAACTGTACTGTAGAGCAGATCATCAGCAACCTATGTAGCACATTGCCTTCACTGGCCATAACCCTTACATTCCTGGCAGTCATAACAGTGGAATTGCTTATGCATAGCCTCACCAATTTATCCTTTATTCTACTGAATTTTGCAATGTAGCAGTTTTTCTCCAGCAATTAAAAGCTGTCCACTGACTATAAAGATATTTAAATCCATACTATGTAGTCTATAAAAGCTGGTTGTATATTGGTAATCACTGCACTACAACCTCCTAAACAGGAAAAGAATTGATCTGCATTCCTTACAGACTAACCAAAAGCAATTTAGTTTTATCTAATCGCATTTCAGGATCATGGCAGAAGCTATGGACACCAAAATAGATGATTATAAGTCTTAAAAGTGGTAAAAAGAAACAAGTCTGCATTTGATCTTTCAACACACAATTAAGAAAAATGTTAAAGAATTGGGAGTAATGATATGTGGCATACCAGAAATTGGAGGTAAAATCAGCAGGGACAGTCTGTTCTGATGTCATATCTCACTTCTTTACAAATGCAACCTGTCAGGTCGACATGAAATCCCTCCACTTCTTGGGGAATCCACCAACAAAAGATAAAACAATCTGACTTGACAAAAACAAAAAGGGACTGTGTTTTTCTGGAGTATACAACTGTAACCCCAGCCTTGTGAGATGTAAACACAGTCTTCACATAATGTGACAGGAACTTCACCTTATTGCGAGGTAGGGAAACTTCAAAGAGAATCTTAATATATATCAATGAATGGTTTGAGCCCTTAATCAAAAGAGTGTAGGCAAAGAGGACAAGTACAATAATCAGCTAACTACTGATTGAAAACTGAACACAGTTTTCAAAACACATGACTTTCTTTCACATAACAAAGACTAAAAATGGAGAGAAATGACAAAGAATGATGCACTGCTTTGGCACTTACATTTCCCAAATGTCCTCCGGTAGGTTAGCTGGAATTTCTGTTAAGCCCCTTCCTCGACAATCCACTACATTGTTGCTGCAGGTGCAGGCAGATGGGCAAGTGATGGAACTGGCACTGCATGATGGTGGTTCAGATTGGGAACCTGTGACATAATGAAATCATTACATGCTAGTTTTGAAAAATATTTGCCTGAGATTTTGACAATAAAATGCATCAGCCTCCAAGTTTTCCAGATCCTTCTACCATATTAAGTAATGATTTATTTGGATTCAGTGAATATAATGTGCTATAAATTAACTATAGAGAAAATATATAAAAGGTTACTGTGTTCTTATTCTTCCTTGGTCTCTATTCAATCAGTTTTTCTTCATAGACACTTCTTTGGTCCCCTCTACAATCAATCAAATTAATTTATTCAAAGATTTAGAAAATAAGCCTAGATAAAATACGGAGCATCTCCAGAAGTTGTCTCTGCCTAGAAGTTTCCACTACACCAACTTTTACATAGTGAGAGAAGACTGTCATCAACAATTACTTATGTTTTTGAAATGATGTAAGCTGTTACGGATCAAAGACTAGAAATAGAAAGCTAGTTTTCTCAAGATTAGACAACGCAGATAATGGAAACACACACAGAATTATAAAATGTAAGTTCGACACTTCATATCCTTGTTCAATCTAATAATTTCATGGAAAAATAAGAAACTGGAAAGCAAATGTTTAGTATGAGGATATTGTTCTGTATACATTCTGATCAGTTCATTAGATTCAACTTTAATTGTCAATAACATTTTCAAAACTGTAGCAATAATACCAATTTTTCTTGTGTTTGTGAATCTTACATCTAAATTTTTTAAAATTTTGATACACAAACACACACACACCCAAAGAAAAAGGTTTTGCCACACTAATTAATTTTATCAAGATGAAGCAGTTACTGATGTATTTATGGTAAGTCACACTTCCAAGCTGCATATAACAAAAGAAATCTCAAGCATCTTTTCGAGCTATGACCAGACACAGAGGACTGAATACAAATGCTTCTGGTGGTAAGATGTGACAAAATGCTAAGAGAAATCAGACAAACTGGTACTTTCCTAGATTATGTAGATTATAATCACCTTAACTGTGGTATCACAAATAATGTGAAAACATGGCAAGCTACACACAGTGCCCAGGGTGTGTCTTGGAAAAAGCACATGGTGGACATTTTCATAAAATGTAAGTGCAAGGTCTATTATTATGTCAATTAAAATATTTTATATACATATACACATTGCAACATTCTTATATACTCTGTTGATTTATGCCTAAATACCCTCTGGTTTACCCCTTAATTGTGCACAGCAAAGTCAACTCATTGTAAAGCAAATGTACACATGCGTATATTTATCAAAATCTGAGTATGACATAAACATCTGATAAGTAGCCAAGATATTTGGAAAACATAATATGTAAGAATTGCTTTTGAAGAGTAGCAGCTAGGAGGCTTTTTGCACCTGGGGAAGAACAAGATCCTAACATTGCTGGTTCAGATGCTGCTGGCAGACTGTCTACCGTTTTCTGAAATGCTGCTTGTGACAACACCAGAAGCAAAGCTGTTCCCAATGTGTGTTCCTGGAAGAGCAAGGAGCCCCAAGCAGCCTGGTCTAGGGGGTGGCAACCCTGCCCACAGCAATGGGTTGGAACTAGAAGAGCTTTAAGTCCTCTCCAGCCAAGGTTTCTGTGATTTCAACTTCGTAAGAAATGTTGCTGAATTGTAGTATTGTGTTTGAAATTTCTTTTTATTGCATCATCAGTGGACTCATAGTCAGGACAGCAAAAGAAAAGTTAAGTTTCGAAGCACTGTATGTTTTAAATACAGCTTTTTTTTGATGCTAATCAGAGCTGTGACTCCCATTCAGCAGACCAGCCCTCAGAACTCCAGGAATCTAAAAATTGAATTTTCAAAGGTAGTGACCATCTTAAAAAACAATGAATGTCAGAGGACATCTGTGGTATGGGTAGGAGTCACATTCATCCTCCATGAGAGTGTGAAGCTTTCATAATGAGATGATGCTTCTCTTTGCTAAAATACCCTGTTGCACTCACAATCCACTTTCCAACTTTTCTGACAGCTACAGATAAGCAGTTTACAAGCAACAGCCTTTATCTCAACACACAGATGGTTTGAATCCTAGAACAGCTTCATCCTGCAGAACCAGTTAGGCAAAAACAGAGTATAAAAATAATTCAATAATGTAATTAAAATCTAAATTCTAGTGCATATGCTCAAGGAATCAACTTGATATTTTTTTATCAGACAACCTGAACATTAACAAGTTTCAGTTCCAAAATCTTAATAGACACCGTCTTAACACAGTCCAAATATGTGAGCATGTGTGTAATACAGTGCTTAAGTTCTGGCTACTAGAATAAAAAAAATCCCTAAGCTTCACTAGTTAAAAACATACATGTACAGCAGACAAGACAAGCAGCTCAACTGGGCCTGTCTTCTGGCCATAAAAATTCAGGGCAGACATATCACCATTGTGAATTAATAGAATTCCTTCAAAAATTAATGGAGCTCTGCTGCATATCACCAAAAGCACTGCCAGCTCTGCCTTTCACTATGCAAGGTTTCTGTAAGATTTTAATTGTGAATGCTTCCAGAAGTGGATTATAGTGTTTCAAAATGCACAGGAGCCTCTTCTATCTCCACACAGGAACAGGAGATTTGTTTTTACAACCTCACCACACAATTTTTGCTTGTTTCCTTTGTCTGTCTACATCGTAGTGTGATGTCCAAAACAAAAGAAACAATGAAAAGTACAAACTAAACACATCAAGCCTTTCCAGACTGGAAGAAATGCTCAGAGTGGGAAGGAACACTTCAGAACAACCCTTGCTCTCCAAAAGGCAAAAGGAAAATTGGCAGCAAGGCCAAGTCTTCTACACAACTTCTATCACACACAATAGTTATGCCTGCTGAAGAGATTTGTAAAGAGAGGAAAAGGCATTTTGCAGTTATACCACTACAACATACTGCTGCGGGTCACAGAAGCTTTAATAAACTCCCTTTTCATCAAGGTACAATGTCAAGAAAACCCTGAATTACTGCCAGCTGGAGTTTTAAGAGCCTGTTCCCAACTCTGCTGTATTTAAATCAGTATCTAGTACAAGACTCAGTAGAGCTCAGCTCATCACCTCCACATTTTGTGCACCACGGTACTGCTGAGCGCTGTGTGCTAATGGAACACTTTGAAAGGAGGTTATTATATTAGATGCTCTGAAAAGCATGACAAAACAACAGAAAAACAAGTCTTCCTTACACAGAAAACAAGTAGCAGCAGCGACAAGGTGCTAATGAACGTCCCGTTACAGTAAAGTATCTCAGAACTTTCCAGAAAATGTTTGAATGGAAAGGTGATAAGGTAAGCTCTTTGTGCTGGCTGCTACACCTCCCACATCCTCTCCAAAGAAGGACCTGACACATCGCTGACTGAAGCCATTGGGAGTCCTTTAATTTACCCTGCATTTGGAGCTAAGACTGTTTACTTCTGCTTTTCCGCTAGGAAAGAGGAACTGCAATGTGAACAAAATTCTGGTCTAGGGCTAGTGTGTAAAACCAAACCAAACCAAATGAAACCAAACCAAAAGCAAAGCCACCAACTAGTTAGCCATAGAGGTACACTGAGCCAAAAGAAAGAGAGAAAGCCATATAACAAGTTTATTCCTAGTGCACGTGGAGCTGAAATTGGATGATAAAATAACACCGAAGATGTGTAATGTTACGGGATCTAACTTCTGCTGAAAAAAGTGAAGCAAAAAGTGAAGAAAGAGGCTGTGTTTATGTGGCTCTATTTCCCATATATAATGAGTGATTCCTTTATTTTTATTTTTAATTTCACTTTAAAAAGTATGGAAAAATTAAGTTTTTATAAACTTAATTTCTTATTATAAACCTGAATTCTTGGAGAGCCCCAAAATATCCAGTACTCCTGTCACTGCTCGCTGACATTTTACGCTCAGTGTAAAAATACTTTGATCCATACTGAATGCAACCCCGTACAGTCAGTGAAATTCCTCCTTCACAAGCAAAAATACATCTAGATTGTAGACTTCTGAACATTTTAGCAGAATAAAAAGATTTTGTGAACAAACTGTCAACCTGTAGCATCCAATGGTTTTATTAATGTTTTTCTTTTGCAAAGGGAAAAATACGTATTATGGATGCACATTGAGCAGGGATCTAGCCCCTGTTACATCAGCTTTTACTAAATCATTAAACTGATAAAGAAAAGGTCTCTTTAATAATGTTGTAAACAGTATTTAATATTTTATTTAGCTGATTCCATTAAATTAGGATCTTGGCTTAGCTACACAGTAGATCTATAGAATTAAAGCACCAAAAAATCTAAGAGAGTTTAATTAGTTTAATGTTTGCATACATGTGGAGAGATGGTAGAAAAACAAGTGCATGTAGGCTATGGAGTTTGAAGTTCAGAAAATTAAAATTTGGATTTGAATTCCATAGCTACTAGAGGATGAGAATAATGACATATGGAGGACCTCAATGCAATAAAAAGAATATCTGAAATTTAAAGATTTCCTTTTGCTGCCAATACTTCCTGAAAAGAAAAGACCTGGGAAAATTGTAAGTATTTCAGGATTCCTGTTTGTGTTCTTCACAGCTGGTGGAAACAGCAATGGACAAGTCAGTTGCATTTATGCCATCTCCTTTCCAAAGGTCTTGCTGTCACCTTATCATTGCAGATTTTTTTTTCTCAGTTTCACACAAGCACTAATTTGCTATCTTAGCTGTATTTTTCTCTAATTCTTAAAAATCATCAACACAATTATACAAGTTGTTATATAAAAATTAACCTATCGGAATGTGGAAGCTAGAATAGGAACCCCGTTGACAAAAATTACTATGCTTTTTGTGCTTGATATAATGGACTGGCAGTGTCCATGAGAAGGGTAGTTGATATCTGGCATTTCATCAGCCTGCAATGCTTTACGATACAGTTTCATACTTCAGGTTAGAGAGAGAGCAGAGATGGGGAGAGGCTCAGAACTCAGCAGTTTATGGAGGAATTAAGTGCTCTTTTCAAATAAGAGTCTCGTTGGCCTCTAGCCTTTTAAGAGCAGCAAATAGAC